AATAACTTGGTGATATCTTGCCTCGGTAAATATTATTATTGTGATTACATTAAGGAATTCTCGGGACTCACCACATATCATGGTCTTGTTCGCATTTACAACTCGAACACTTGGCCTTCCCGGATATTCTGGTGTGTAGTGGTGCTGTCCTGCCTCTCGCTGTTTATGATTCATGTAAGTTTCCTTGACATGCATACTCTTTACTTTGTAATTCGGCTTTTTGGCAACTGTTCGTTTGGATTGCTTACTCATAGAAATCTCATCCTGAAAATGTAGTCGTTGTGAAAGATCCATTCATAGCGAGCTCCTCGCATGGGCGCCAGCAACATCTCCATCCGCCCTCTCCCAAAGCGTTTAATTTCAAGATCGCCAAGCGTTTGGGCGGTGTCTTCATGATGAGCTTGAAGGTCGAGCCGATGATCGCTTTTTTTGTACATTGGACGTCTCTAGTTTGTGACAGCTCTGATTGAACAGTCATCACAAATCGCACTGCGTGAGCGGCCGCCACCTCTGCTCTCTTGACTTGACAAATGTTGGGCATGGCACCCAAATGGGAGAGTAAGGGATGGAGTCAAAGAAGCGCCACAGAGAGCGATACGCAGAGCTGCAACGATGGGCATGCTATGTATCGAGCGTGCGTTGGTTTCTTCCTTAAGCCTCTGGCCCCATCAAGTCAACTGGCCTCAACTCTGCTATTGTAAGCTGGCAGCCTCATTTACGGGAGTGTTTGAACCATTGAATCTAATCGTGGCTTGTATTTTTGGAACTTCAGAAGTGGAAAGATCTCAAATTCAAATTCGAAAGTTTTTTGGTTCTTCTCTGACTGAGCGCCTTCTTCGGAATTTCAGAGCGGCTACCTTCTACTTGGATATCACTCGAAGCCCACGTTGTTCCAAGTGAAGACCATCGTGGCATCGGACGGCGTTTCCTTCCCCGACATCACCATTTGCAAGCACGAACCGATTCAAATGTCTCGAGTAATAGGTAGTGTTCTACACCTGTTCTAGTGAAAGATTTCACCAGCAGAATTTAGGATATAATATGAGCAAAAATGTCCTGCTCTATCTTCTGGCCTCCTTCAATGATCACGTCGAGCGCGATGAGCTTGATGAGAAACATCGTGCTTTTGAGGGCTACAAAAACAACTACCGCTCAGAGACTGGACGAAATTTCTCAATTGCGAATTTTTTCCTCGATGTCAGGTAATAATGGTTTCGTTTTTATAATAGCATCTCAGAGTACCCAACATTCCCGTCGCCTGCATTTTTGATTGCCTTTCAAATATTTTCTCTAGGCCAACTTGTGAAGAAATGGTGTTGAGCTGCTCCTTCGCTGGCGAGGACATTGAGAACTGCTGCGCCAACAGCGAAGTCGTGATCACCGACGTCGGCTATTGCGTCAGGTGAGGATTCTTCAACAGGCAGGTCGAATTTGAAAGTTTGTCCGGAAGTAGTGTTAAGCTCCTGCCGACCACAAACTTCGATACTTCAAGGCTAGCACATTGGAACTCGAACCAGGAGGACGTGAATTCGCATTCTTTAAAAATCGCGGACACCTTCTTCAGCAGGGAGTCGATGGGTCCACTTTTCCCCCCACATGAGAGGGGGGGGAAGCCTCGGGAGGTTCCCTTATACGGGCCGCCGTTCACGACGAGACACCTGCATATGGCTGTTTCTATTGTAGTAAGTATTCGATTTGAGATCAGTCGATATTAGTCACTCGCCACGTGCAATTATTATGCAGTTACTTCCACATTATCGCTGTTAATGCAAACCGCTCATTCGATAGTGCTAGGCGCAACGGTTGACCTGAACGTCAACGTACAAGTGATGCCAGTGGACTGTCGTTGAGATTCCGGTCCACCAAATTCTTGAAGTACATAAGGCCATGTAAGGCTTTCGGCGATCGAATGCGTACGTGGAATCGAAACGTTTTGATGTGCTGTTCTCTAGGCGCCGCCACTTTGTCCTACCCACGGCATCCCTACCGTGGCCGCGACATCAGTAAAACCCTTTATCACGTCCCGCCATCATCACTTCGGAGCTCTCGTTGTCGCTTGTTCCCGACCTCGAGGTCTAGTGCACTCCTATCGAGTGATTGTTGCTCTAAGTTAAAGGCCATTTATCACAGTCTCTAGTCGCACCTGCGGTTGGACAATGCAGGTTTTCTAAAATTATATTTGTATCCCCCCTTCCGGCCTCCGCCAATCGCTTCGCGTCCGCGCCCTGATTGCTAGGGTGGGTCCTAAACCGTCTGTTGGCTGCGAAGTGTCCGTGGAGTTGGTCTAAGATCTGGGGAGATATCTCCATTTCTTCGTTTGATGTGGTCCGTTGTTCGAGTTGGTGTAACTTCACCTACGGATTCTCGCTATTTCTTAGTTTTGACTCTTCTTTAGGATGGTGTTAGGAAATCTGTGCCAGAAGAGGTTGGTGCTGCGGAGCGGTTATCCGCTGGAGTACTGATATTTCCTACCGTTCATACTCATACGCTGAAATTTTATGTACCAAGCTAGTCTGTGCGAGCTGCTGAATCAAAAATTGTGCTTGTCCTTTGACAAGCGAAGTGAAAGGTAGCAGATTTCAGGTTTTCAAATTCAATTTCAAAGAGGAAGCAATTTTTGAGTGGTAGAAGCCGTGGGTGGAACTTCATCCTGGACGCTAGCAGCGACTTGCGCTCAGGTTTCTCCCTTCTTTTCCTTTTCCTGCTCACTGAGATGAACAAAATTCCAGAAGCTCTCGCTTTCCAGACTCATCCCTTTCGCTCGATGTGGGATTCCATGTCGTGGTGCATGAATCCCAATAAAGAAGTCTCAGTGAAATCCCACGGTCTCTCAGTTCCCGCCAGGAGCCGCCCTTCACGCTGGCATTTCCTACAGAAATGTACGCTGCAATTATTAAATACGGCTTTTCTTAAAACGTATGCAATTAAGATCATGAGAAGATTCTGGATTATGCTTGCGGAAGTTCTGTCACCCATGAATTGCTTTTTTGTCATTTCAGGTGTCTTATTTGCCGAGGTCTGACTGGGGACTATGTCAGCGAGGATGGGATCAGAAGCTCCATGGCCCGGTGCTAACGGAACTCGAGGTTTGGTTTGTTAATATGTATACCTTGATCTCATTATGATATCACCTTAGTGGAGGCGAAATCACCCAAAAATGTACTGAAACTTCTTTGAAGGACCGCTCGTTCGAATAACAATCTCGTCGTTCCGTTTTCCCTCCATGTATGGTCTTCAGGGCAATTTCCTGAAGCGTCGGTTTTTACCCTTCAAACGCCCATAAGCTTCTTCAAATTTGAATAGGGGAAGCGACTAAAGTCGTTGAAATCTGGTTAATTCTTTATAACATGCGCTGACTTCTTCTAGAAAGCTTTGAAATGGAGACCTTTTTTCTACCAAATTTCCCACAAGGCTCTAGAAGTAATAGGCCAAATCGCTGCGCTTTCCTCCTTTTTTGTTTGGTCTAAAAAAATTCCTCTGGAATAAATCTGCTCATGCTTACTTGTATATTAAGTGATTTAGTAAGCAATCCCGCTCTGGCTTGCAATTTGCCATACCTGCCTTAGGAATTTCGAATTCTATGACTGAACCTTGGGCTTGCGATCCCCCCCCCCTTCTAATGGCCAAATACGACCCCCTTCCACGGTTGATCTTTGCGCAAAGGACAGTTGAACTCGCTTGACACCTACTGGTGCACTCGTTCGACTGATGGTGAGAGATCGCCGTCTGTAACGACAGAGAGTAGGGCCAAATCAAGGCGCTTAGGTCGATAGCGTGATCTACCGTTGAATCTTGGCCAGAGTGGAAATCAACTAGGGGGAAATGGATCCCGTTTCGCGAGTTTTCCGTTATCTCGGCTTTCTCTTGAGCGGTGCACCTTCTTCTACCTCTGCTTTCACTTCTAACAAGCCAAGATTTTCCCGTGACTTCCGTCTTTGAATCGATGTGCGATGTGAACGAAAGCAATTAAATTTGCCAAAACTTTTACAGAAGCCATTCCTCACTCAGTCACTGGAATTTTATCGCTTTCAGTACACTTCAGCTCATTGCGAATGGAATTGCCTTGCGCAGGAATGGCTGCATACATGTGGGTGCCAACCGATGGTGCTGCTTCCCTTGAAGATTTCCTCTGATGCGGGCATATGCACACCTTATGACATTAAGAGATGTGCTGATTTCGTTCATGGTTAGCTTATACAATCTCGATTAATTGTTATTAACGATTGAATGATTTTATTTATGAACTATGTATTGAATCCACGCAGGGCCCAGATTCAGGAATACGGGATTGGGAGATGTCTATTCGGGTACCCGACAGGAGGCCGTCTCGCGGCGAGAAGGCAGAGACGCGGACGGTCAGCGGACGAGTTGCAGCGCGTACTGTAGCGATTTAGCGTCAAGTTAAATAGAATGTACTATAGTACGTCCACATCGCACAATTCGCGCTGCAACTCGTCCGCTGACCCCTCTGCATCTCTGTCCTCTCGCCGCGCTACGGGCCTCCTGTCGGGTATGCTGTCCATTCAGTGTACACCCATGTCTTCTGGCATTTATGGCATTAAGCATAGAAAACCTTGACTATGTAAGCAACCCACAGTATTGTTCCAGAAAACGCAAACAAATGCAGCTGTGACATTGAATGTGATCTGAT